CCAGTACAGGCTTCAAGACAGATACCTGTGTGTGAACTTGTACAAATCACTTATCCTCCTTACACCTCAGTTTCCTCATTTGAAAACTGGTGATGTAGTTGTCTATCGTATTTTAGGTTTGTGAGGGTTTGAAATAACTTGAGGTACCCCTCACTCTCCCCTTCCCTCTGAAGTTCTGTGAGGGTTAATTTTGTGTGGCAGTTTGCTGGGCCACAGTGCCCAGATAGCTCATCAGTCTTCTTCTGGATGTTTCTCTAAAGGTGTTTTTTGGATAACAGCATTTAAATTGGTGGACATTAAGTAAAGCAGATTACCCTGGATAAAAAGTGTGGGCTTCATCCAGGCAGTTGAAGGCCTTAGGAGACAAAGACTGACATCTCCCAAGCAAGAAGGAATTCTACCAGCAGAAGTCACAATCACATAAACAAGGTCCTGAAAATAAACCAATTTCTCTTTCATTTCTCCCTCTCCCCCCTTCTCTTCCTCTCCTTCCCTCTTCCTCTCCCTCTCCACGCCCCCCCACACATAGACACATAGACACACACACACACACACACACACACACACACACACACACACATCCCAGAGTGGTTAGATTGGTTCTGTTTTTCTGGAGAGCACTGACATACAGAGATATAGTCAAGAATCACAAATGGGGCAAAAATATTAATCTTGTTAATGTCGTTACTCCAGGCAAGCAACACCCCCTCCAATGGCTAAGACAAAAGCTTTGATAAAAGCTACATTGGAGAACATGGAATTGCCTGAGGATGAAGTGAGACTTCCTGTTTCCCCACCTGGACTCGAGATCCAAGGACCAGCACACTCAGGAATGGCTCTAGGTCAGACAGTGGAGCAGACCCCAGAATGACTTATCCAAACACTTGGGTGAGACATGAGCCTTTCTTCTATGGGCCAATCTGCTATGTGCTTCCTATGGAGGGTTAAGTTGGACACCTGCTCCACTTGGATGGAGAAGAGCAGGTTAGAGGGAAAGGCCATGGGCTTACACATAGTTGTCCTTCCCACCAGTAAAGTGTGTGTAGTCCTGGCTGGTAGGGTTCATTCTGCCTCCCTCTGGAAGGAGAAGTCAGGGGTGAAAGGAAATCCTGAAGTGTTACGGCATGTGTAGAAGTACCCAGATGGGGTGAAAGTTCTCTCCTGCATTGGCCTCTGGGTTGACCTCTTTATAGGTATGAATCCTTCCATGGAGATGTGATGGTGATAGAGAGAAAAGGCTCCTCTCCTGTGAAAATAAAATATGGTATAACTGGTAAGTGGCAAGTGTCACCATAGGCACAGCATCTTACAGAGCAGCTCCATCTGTGAATCATGGTAGGTGATGTCCCAGTGCAGAAGGCTTTCCATGTGATGTGAGTCTGCGCTGAACGCATCTGACTTCAGTTGGTCTAAAAGAGTTCAGCCCTTTGGTACATATTTTACCCTTCTTGTTCCTGTCTGTAGTAGTGGGAGGCTTTGAAGAGGCATCAAATCGGTAGATCCCTTACTTGCCAGGTGGTAAGCTTGGGCAAGCCACCTACCAAACCCCTTTCTATGTCAATACCTCCTTGTACAAATGGGGGTTGTGAGAGGAGTCTGTGACAATCTATGTTCATATATAAATATAAAACGTTAGTGTCATCATTATTTTAAACACACCTCCACCATTATTATTATTTTTTTTTTGTGGTACTGAGGCTTGAACTCAGGGCCTACACCTTGAACCACTCCACCAGCCCTATTTTTGTGAAGGGTTTTTCTAGATAGGGTCTCGTGAAACTATTTGCCCTGGCTGGCTTTGAACCACTATCCTTCTGATCTCTGCCTCCTGAGTAGCTAGGATTGCAGGCATGAGCCACTGGTACCCAGCACATCTCTACCATTATGCATGGAAGGAAAGCCCAGCTCTTAGTACAGGTTGTTTCCCATTGGGGGGTGGGGGGGTCTCCGTGCGGCCAGCTGTGAATGAGCTTTGTATACATGACAACTTGAGAGAAAGCGTCCTCTCCAAGGATGCCTCCCACTGACTGTTCACACGACTTCTCTTGCCAACCTGGCGTCTAGCCTGGCTTTCTGGAGCCCAAATCCCAGCTGAGTTCTCACTGCACCTTCTCCAAAGGCAGTTCCTGCCAGGGATGCTGAGGATGCTCAGCTGCCTTGTGGGTGGCAAGAGCCACACTGAGCAACTGCAGGCCTCATGCCCTCTTGGCCTGGAAGTGAATTGTATCTCCTCTTCCCAGCCTGTTGTTGCTATGGGTGCCTAGCCCTCCACCTGCTTCTTCAGCAACCATCCAATTGCTCCTGGCAAAGCCCCACTTCAGACATCAGGTTAGATAATCAAGATCACTCTCCAACTGGTTTCTTTATGGAGGTTCTCATCCCTCCATCCATCCCACACATGTGGCCAGAGATATTTCCCACATGGCCTACTTCTGAACACCTAGCATAATTTCCAGGTTTTTCTTCACTCATGTCCTACTTGCAATCCACATTCCAGTCCCACCCCACCACCCTTCAAGCTGAGCTAGCCATTCCCTGAAGAGATTCTCTGCCTCTGTGCTTTCTGCTTGTGATGGTTAATTTGACTGGGCTACAAGGTGCCCACACATTTGATCAAACATTATTCTCAGTATGTTATTCTGAAAGTGTGGTGAGGGTGCTTTTGGATGAGATTAACATTTGAATGAGGAGACAGAGTAAAGCAGATTGTCTTCCCATTCTGGACAGACCCATCCAGGCCACTGAAAGCCATGACAGAACAGTGAATCTAAGAGGGAATGTTGCCTTTTTCTTACCTTTGGACTTAGACTGAAATGTCAGCTCTTGCTGGGCTCCAGCTTGGCCGCCATAGTTCTTGGGATTTGTCAGCCTCTGTAATCACTTGAACCAATTCCATATAATCTCTTATGATCTCTGTATAAGCTTAAACACACACACATACACACACACACACGCACACACACACATGCACTATTGGGTCTGTTACTCCAAACAACTCTGACTAAAATACTGCCTTTATCTGGCTTTTTGCTACACATCTATTTCCCCCTCTTATTATTTCTTAAGCAAAGTAAAATCCCTACATATCTTTCAAGATCTACCTCATTTGACTGTCATCAAGAACCCATCCCCTGTTCCCCTTACTCCTCTGTGCTTTCATAGCATTGTTATCAAGCTATGTAGCTGAACTCACCTGTGGCATGATATAGGCATCTGCAGGTGTGTCTGTGTGGGACATTGCAGCCCCCTCCAGGGCCAGGGCCATTGTTTCCACCTCCCTGCTTCTTAGCTCAGAGCACTGTAAGGCTCACAACACAGTTATTTAGATAATTGCAATGAATTAAACTGGAAACAAGCCAGTGGAAGACAGTTCTATCCATGACACTTCCTATAAGGATGGGATGTCAGGGTTGCCCTGGGGTGATGTTCCAACTAGAGGTGACAGCTGTCAGGCAGTGACATTGCATGGCACAGGCTTGGAGTGGAGTTTCACACCCCTGCCTAAATTTCCCCTAGCATGTTCTATAGCAGCAGTAGCACACGACATTAATAAAATCAATTATTGGATAAAAATCGCTGGTTTCCAGAGATTCATTTCGTGCTATTAGCAGAAGAATGCTGTTTCAAAAGGAGATAACAAAGAGGGAGAAAGAAAAAGAGATCAATTACCAGATAAGATCATGAGGTGCCTGAGATGAATGTGTGGTCTGGTTCGGCCCCTCTCACCTACCACAGGGCGCTGAGTACCTGCACTGCTGTCTGCTGAGCCTCCACTGGGCCTTATTGCTCAGGTGTTGTAAGTGCAGGAAATGAGTCCTGCTCTGAGACAGGATGGGGCTCTCTGCTCTCTTAAGACACTGTCAATGTGAGACTCTTGCATAATGATTGGAGTCAATCACACTTGAGTGAACATCTCATACTTGGTGACAGTGCCAGCCCTCCCATTCCAGGTCAAGACCCCATCAGTAAGTTCTTCCCAGAGACACACATTGGCAGTTTAGATGAATCTGAAAGGTCTGAGCTTCTGTAGATACAGACCGCTATCCCCCAGGGTCAGAGTGGTAACATCCCTTGGGAAGTGGCCACCAAATGCAAGCATCCAGCTTGCCAAGGCCAGAAAGCTGGCTGGACAGAGAGAGAATCTCTGCTGGCTGGGGAGCTGGAGTGAGTTGGGTGGACCAGGTAGCCCTGGCTCTGGTAGGGAGGTAGCTTGTCACTTCCCCTGCTACAGGGTTCCAGGAAGCTGCCTTGGGCTCTGTCACTTGCCTGTGTGCATCCTCAGGCCAGTGGCTTTTCTAGAGCTCCATCTTTCCTACTCAGCCCAGAGGGTTTGGGTATGTATGAAATGAGCTCATGAACATAGAAAGGACCACCCACGATCTAAAGTCCTGTGTCCACATAAGTACACAGCTCATTACTTGCTCTCCCATTAGTGCCTCCTAAAAATAGTCACAGGTTCTTGGGTTGGAGGAAGAAAGGACTGGGGTGTCTGGTGGGTCACACCCCATTACAGATGTATCACCTACTTCCAATATCTGCCTTTCCCACAGCAGACAAGGAGAAAATGACAGTCATGGCATACTTGCTCTGTGCCTGTCACTGAGCCAGATGTTCTCAAATTGCCCTGGAGAGATGGTCTCTTGGGTGAGGATACCATCATTCAAGTCCCAGTCCTGCCACTTCTAATTGTGGATCTTGGGCAAGATCCTATCAAGGCTATTTTCTCATCTGTATGATGGTAATATGAGAAATTCGGTGAGAATCCTATGAAACAATGGGAGTCAAGATCCTCAAACAGTGCCTGGTATATAGCAGTCAGTAAATGACAGTGGCTCTTATCACCCTTGTTCTGATAGGTTTTTTAATGTTCTGCCTCGGGCCTCATCTTCAAGCTAGACATTGCCAGATCAATTTTGGTCTCTATGGCTGCACACCATGGATGAACGGGGCTAGAGGAGGCCAGGGGATGTTCTCACAGAGTCTCCATTCATGTTATACAGCCCTCCGATGCTGACTGGGATGACCTATGGGAGCAGTTTGATGAGCGGCGGTACCTGAATGCCAAAAAGTGGCGCATTGGTGACGATCCTTACAAGCTGTATGCTTTCAACCAGAGGGAGAGTGAGCGAATCTCCAGCAATCGGGCTGTCCGGGACACTCGCCATATGAGGTACTTCCTCCTTCTCCCACGCCATTACTCCTGCCCCTCCCCCACCACCAGGATGGATCAACAGTAGGCTTGATTTGGGGGCCCACTGTGTGCCGTGCCCCGTGCCAAGAACTGGGGCAGGCAAACTGCTGGTTTGCTGCCGGTTGAACACAAATGGGGGGATGATGTGGTAATTTACCCCATCTATACTGCTTACTGCTTATTGCTGTGAGCCAACTGAAAGCTCCACTTCCCACTGGGAGGTTGGAGAGGGTGGGAGGCCTACCTCAGAGGGTGCAGCTGCCTCATCACCTAGGAGCAACACTTACTGTGAACTCACAGAGTATTAAAAATGCTGGTTGGAGCTGTTTTTCCCTGACAGATTCCCTCAACCTGGCCTGGCTTTCAGAGTGGGGCAGGATAGGCATAAGAAAGTCACTTTGGTGTCTCTCCTGGCACTGGGAGAGACTTTCTGTGACAGCCCATGAGATGAGAAGCTGAGGGGTCTCTTCACTTGCCATTGGTCCTGCTGTCTGCCTCCTGAGGGACCCATTCACACAGTCTCCCATTCCCTTGGACAGGCCACACCTCTAGTTAGTGACAGAGATCAGACCTGGCACTATATCAAGAGCTTTGTTTCCCAGCAAAAAGAGTTCTTGGTAAAGACACTTCATCTCATTACCAACCATTCTCAAGTGTTGGCAGGTCTTATGCTTTCTGAGGAGGTCCAAGCAAGCAGGTGGGTCCCGACCCCAGCCCTCCTAGAGGAGCCAGAGACCTGTGCAGGTATTTCCTATCTGCTGCATGATGCTGACTTTGAACCACCTCCAAACGGCAGGCCAGCCACTGAGAGTACATGGGTTTGAGGGCTGTTGGACCAAGAGGCTATAGTACTGACATTGGGTTCTTAGCTTTTTCATTTGTTTGGGTCTGATGAGTTTGTTAATTTCCTGCCTCTGGCCTCATCTTCTAGCTCAGCACTGCCTGAACAAGCCTGGTCTCTGTGCTGGGCACCAAAAGATGGATGGGAGCTAGCATGGGGGAGTAAGAATTTTCATGACTTATAAGACTGATTTCTCTGGTGGTTCTTAAGCTAGTACTATGAAAAGACATGTAGACTCAGTTTCCCCAGTTAGGTTGTACAACTTACACAACATGTACCCCATGGAGGCACTCAGCCAGTCCTTATTAACCACTATCACTCCAAAAAGAACTGGAGTCTTGGTTCCCCCCATGAATACAGCAAGGGCATGAACTGGATGATATTCTGTCTTCTTCTAACTCTAACAGTCTGTCACTTCTCTCCTCAAGATACCATAACACTCTTCCTCAGCAGCAGTGCCTAGCTTCCCCTAAAGCCAGAGGCCAGGGCATAAACCAGTTCTCCTCCCTTCTGTTGGCCCAAAAGCTTCTTAAAGTCAGAATCCCATTCAAATTCCCTAGCCCTTATCCCATTCCTTGCCATCTGAGAGAATTTTACATAAATTTCAGATGTCTGTATTTTCCTGAGCAGAAACTACACATAGAAGAGTAGGCAAGAGGAAGACAGAGGCTGAGAAGTCCCACTGAGTCTCAGGCAGGTTGTCCCTCCTTGTCCTGAGACCATATACTGTGGCTCTGAGGAGGGACACAGGGATGTCTCCTTGCCAGGAAAGCTGTTAGTGAGGGCCCTCCAAGGGATACCCACAACTGCTCCTACCTACAGAAAGGAGGGACCAGGAACTCACTGAGCAGGTAGGCACCTGGGGATACAGAGCAGGACTGATTTCCACACTCTGTTTGTCTCTGACCTTAAAGGCAGAAATTAAAGTTTTACCAGGGAGGACTTGTGGTGGTAAGTAATGAAAAACTGAGCCTGTCCCCAAGGAGCCCAGCTTCTCAGCCAGTCCTGGGCTCTGAATCTACCCAGTAAGTTCTAGCTGCACTCCCAGAGGGGCTGAGAGGATGGAGACAGAATTTACACACCCTTTGGGAAGACAAAAAAGGGGAAAGCTTTTACACCATATATCTGCCTCAGGACAACAACCTTGCCCTGTACTTTCCCTGTCACTGAGAGAATTTTGGGTTCATGGGTGAGGAAACTCACAATCATGGCAAATGGCTGGCACAAGCAGCCATTTTCAGTATCTTTTACTGCATTTATAGCCCCAAGCTAGCACCTCAAGAGGCCACAGTTGGAGCAGACTGCCCCAGGCCAAGTTTGGCTGAGTACTGCCCTCTGCTGGTGTCACCCTTGTGATGATGAGAACTCCAGAGGCTGCCAGCAGAACCCTCAAATGGGCCCTTGGGGCACTACTCTTCTGGCTAGAGGAGCACCCTCTTCCAGCCTTGGCTTCTTAGGGAATTTATGACTATAAGGCTGGACTTACCCGTTAAGTCCTTTATTCCTTCTGTGAGTCCAGGCTCCCTGCTGGGGTCCATAGAGACGGGCTCATTTTTGGGCCGGTGCACCTCAACTCTGACCAGTGTTGGCTGCTAGTGACCGGCATCCTGCCAATCAGGGATTGTTAACAATAGGACTGCTGATGTTTGGGGCTGGATGATACCTTCTTGTGCTCTGTAGGATTTCAGCAGTATCTCTGGCCTCTACTCTTTGAAGACAAAATTGCCATGAGGGTCACTGCTATAAATGTGGCCTTGCTCTTTACCTAAGTTCTCAAAAATGAAACAAATGTGCATTACTAACCCCATCACCAGCAATAGGATGGGGCCAAACCTTCTGGATAAATCTGAGTTAAGCAATGGCATTATTGCCCAGAACTTCAGGACACACATAGACTCTGGGATCAGACTGCCCTGTTTCTGACCTTGGCTGTACTGCTGGTAAGATGAATGAACTTAGTAAGTTCAGCTCAGTTACTTGCCCATACCTCAGTTTCCTTTTTTGAAAACCAGGGATGAAAATAACAATAATGATTCTATCTAATTTGATTTTCATAAGCGTCAAACAAATTTATGTGTAAGGTATTGATCAGCTAGCTACATAGTGAATATTCAAAATTTTTAAATTGTGCTATGACGACAGGCATTGTGGGCAAGTAGATGCTGTAGAGCCTGGAGTGGAAGGGTCTGTTGAAAATCAAGAGATGCTCAGACACAAGGTGCAATCATACCCCACACTGAGGAAGCACCATGATCCAAGAACCAGGAAGAGGCTTGAAGAAGATCTCCAAGTAGTTAGGCGTGGTGACAGGAAGACAAAAGTGGGTGTCCAGGTCAGTCTCAATGCTGGAGAAACGGGAATGTGAGTGAAATCAAACCCCTGTGATGTGGACTGTTAGTTATGAACACTAGTCTTAGCAGTTCTCAATCCAGGCTTCCTATAAGAGGCATGTGGGGAGCTTTTCAAAAATGCTGATACTCAGACTCCAGTCAGTGGAAGTGTTTCTTTTCTAAGCTCCCCAAGACACTCTAATGAGTAGTGAGGGTTACGGACCACTGCTCCAGGTCAGTGCTTCTCCAACTTAAGTAGGCAAACAAGTGAATCAGCTCAGGATCCTTTATAGTCTGATTCAGTAGGTCTGGGCTGTAGGGCCTGAGATTCTGCATTGCTAACACTCACTCAGACGCCATTGGCCCAGAGACCACACTGTGAATAGTAGGGTTCACAACAACAGTTCTCAGAGTCTGGTTCTCTAAACTAGCAGAACAGGAGCCTGCATGTCACTTAGGATCTTGTTAGAGATGCACCCCGTTAGACTTCACCAAGAAAACCTGGGGAATGGAGCCCAATGATCTTGCTTAGCAAGCATTGCAGGTGATTCTGGGGCTCACTCATTTAGAAACCATAGAACATGGGCTTGCTCCTGTGGGTTGCCAGATAAAGTCTATGGGTGGTTTGGTCCAGCTGGAAGGCTCAGAGTTGTACTAAAGACTAAAGGCTTGGAATAAGGCCACTCACCTGCCCATATGCTGCATCCCCCGCCCTCTGTCCAGGTGACATGACTTCTGTCTCTGGCCCTGTAGAGACTGGCCTGTCTGGTTCCTCCTTACCACTCCCTATCTTCTCCTGGTTCCTTCATCCACAGGGTCCATCTTTCTCGAAATGAGATTACCTGTACCAAGAAGCTGCTTCTACAGGGCCTCTCCTGACCCATGGTCATTGCCCACATTGGACTCTTGGCTTCTTTGTTGAGACCCAGCCTTATTGGTACAGGCTTTGCTCCTGCTGGGCCACTTTTGTGTTCCCATGATGCTTTGCACTAAGGTCTTGTAGGTTATGACATGACTTGCTCTCTGGGGTGAGAAACTACTGCAGTTCCTGGTATGTGATAGAAATTCAGTAACTGTTGAACAAATGAAAAGGAGAGTCAGATTGGAGAGACCATCAGCCATTCTCTCCCACCTGCCCTACATGTAGAGAGGAAAAGAGTAGCTAAAAGAAACCCCCTTCTCATTATCCTTTGACCCTCAGGGGCCTCATGTGAGGAATGCAGAGGGCAGACAGAGTAAAAGGAAAAAGGTTTTTTCCCTTAAAAAGTTCTCATTACTGAAAGAGAAGAGTGAATAGCACGTGGGAGGGGTCTAAGCTTATTAAATTTGCTTCCAATTTTCTTACCACAGTAATTGGATTCTGATTTATAGGATGCATTTGGACAGCGCCTGAAACAGAGAACTATTAGCTGAGCATTAGAGCAAGAGCTGCCAAGAGGGTGGTGCTGGGGTGAACTGCCTAGGAATCTGAAGATGCCATGTGATGGGGTGGGCAGGGGGAGGAAGGCGAGACATCTTCACCCAGCAGCGCTGATTGAGTCACCAAATGCACTGTCACTACCTTGGCATCAGGTGATAAGAAAAAACCCCAAGAACCTGTAGGCTTCATTTCTCTGTATGGAATAGAACAGAGTAACCAGTAGCTGGTGTTTTTGTTTTTTGGTTTTTTTTGGTTCTGTGCATGATGGAGCTCCATGTTCCATCAGGAGCATGGCACAAGCAACTGAGGAATGGAAGAAGATAAAACTGGGGCAGGTTTGAACTCCTTTTCCCAGGGTGTACAGGGCCAATGGGGTGGGCAGGATGAT